TTTAAATACCCAGATCATGTTTATGAAAATAAAGACATTTCAATGAAACAGAAAGCAGTTTGGTTGCTAATGGGGATGACATTCAGTCATGCATGTTTGTGAAATCATCTCAACCAACTACTTTGTAAGTCTAATTTGAATATGCATACAAGGCTTGCTAGTTTTTTACAGAGTATAAGCACTACATTTTTGTAAATTATCTGCTCTGTATCATCTGTTAAAAGGGGAACTGTGACACATGATATTTGAAAAGAGAAGCTTAACAGAAAGCAGGAGTAGAAGGTTTACTACTCATATGAGTGTCCTGAGATTCAGCGAGCAGAAAAAGATCTTTGTTCTCATTTGTTCTAATAAAAAATGTGCACATAAGGGGCCAGCATCATGAAGGAAGCACATTTTGCAATAATTACTTTGTATTGCTGAAATTTCACTTTCTTAAAAACCACCTTGGAGTAAATTACTCTATGCTGAAAAGGAGCAAGACTAACAAACAACTGTTGTTCTCTTTATAATTATAGTCCCTTCTGCATTGGCAAATAGAAATCCAGAAGGACCTACAGTCTGTGTTGCATTACTGTGTAATCACAATAAAAACCTCATCTGGTATCCTTTCCTACTCCCTCAAATCTGTTAAAAATCTTAGTTACTACTGGCAGGTATTATGATAGAGCACACAGGATTTTTCACTGTGAAAATACCATAAAGGAATAAACCCAAGATAACAGCATTTTATACTGGCGCTTATGCTATGCACCATTTGCAAGTTCATTTGCTATCAAGAGAAAATTACCTTCTCTAGTGCTTTGTCAACTAGCATCTTAAACCTCTTCAGAACTAAATGGGAAAGGTCTATCAGAGTGACAATTGCATCTTTTTTCTCTCCAGTAGCTAATCTCCTGTTTTTCCTAAGCTTAGATCTTTATATTGCTCATAGTTCTCGCTTTAAAACTGTGCAGTCTGTTTAATTTGGTCAATAAGAACTTTACATGCTTCTTGACAACAGAATGAATTCCACTAACTTTTATGAACCTGGGTGTTATGCATCCCGCTGTGCTCCACACAGCAACAGCAGATGCATAAAGGGTACAAATTGTAATTCTTTTAGCAACTAAAATTCTAACGTTTGGTCTTTTTTGGTGTGGTTGCAAATAAACAAAAATATCACTGACAGGCCCTGCAGTTTACTTCCTCCTTTCAGAAACGTTTAGCTGTGTAACGTATGACCAGAGCAATGAGCAGATGGTGTATTTGGCTTAAAGAAAAAGGAGAAAATGAGAAGGAATACAACAAACACATCAGGCCCAAATGGTGTTCGTGCATAAGCACTTGTGGTTGATTTCTGTGTCAATTAAGCTATTGATGCAGAAACAGAGTTAAAATAAAAATGCTGGCTGGTCCAGTGGTGGATGCGAATTCACCTTTCCATGACAGAGACCTCAGTCTGCGCCAAATTCAGGCAGAGGACCCAAAGCCCGTGCTGCACTCTCACCCCAGGAGAAACTGTTCCCACAAGAGTGAGCTCTGCCCTAGCAAGAGGGAGCCCAATGAGACAGAGCTGTCTCACTCATTAAGTTGTAAGTGTGCAAAAACCTTTGTGCATTTGTTTACCTGTAGTTGGGCAGTTTTGTCCAGCAGTCGGTCTGTGCTCTGAGATGCCGGAGTTTCAGGATGTCTTCCTGACTCCATTGCTCTGTGCCCTGGGAAAAGCACTCCATTCTGTGCTTCTATTTCCCTGCTCTTCATCTTCAGTTTTTCAGATTAATGTTTTTGAAGCAGATGACCTTGCTGATCGTCTCGCACGCAAGGATGTTTCTCCCAGCAAGCAGAGCAAGCTGTTGCTGTAGCTAAAAATAACACTGCCCTTGACCAGCAGTTGCAGATTGTGGAGGTCTGGAATTCAGAGTTCATATGATAATTAAGTGAATACATCCCATGCTTTAATTGCAAATGTTATATGGCTGGAAGTAATTTAACTTTGCCCGTATTTTAAGAGTTGTGTTGGGAGCACTTCTAAACTGCTTTGGAGCTAAGCTGGGCTGTGAGGTGCTAACGAGCTACACCTTCATTAAAATAAAAGGTGGAGAGTAAAGTTCCCTTTCTTGCAAACCCAGGAGCAGTGTGATAAAAGCTCGGTATAACCATGTTCCATGATAAAGTATGTTTTCAACTGCAAAGTTATTGGCATTCTTTTCAAATACATCAAAGATTTTGATTACCTCTAAAGTTTTCTTATCACGGTAGCATGCACTAATCTGACCTAAGTGTGATCACAGTCCCTGTGCTACCGGCCTTTCACCCAGTGATTAACGAGCTGCACCTCAGCCATGATAACTGCTTCCACTGAAATAAAACTAGTGTAAGCAGTTTAGTGTTTTATTTAACTTTATTCTTTCAATAACAATACTGCTAAATAATCTTTCTGTGTATTTCAAATAAAGTGGGTTATTCACCTGCACTCAGGCAGTGGTGCTTACTCAAATAGGAATTACCAGTGATTAGACAACCTGGGTATGATGAAACAAACATGAGAAATGGGGCCTTACAAAATTATTTACATCATTCATAAGAATAAAATATACATTTTTTTATAAAAGTATTTATTCATGTGTGGAGAATTAGGATTTTACTACTAATTTCCATTTTCAATTCCAGATTCACACCTAAAAATGCTCGAAGTAGAAACATCTATAAAACTAGTAAGTCTCAAAAGATGAGAATTTGTAAATAATTTTCCCCACTTACTTATTACTGTTGTTAGAAAAGGACAACAACCAACACCCTTTTTAGTCCATTAAGTCATTTGGAAAGCACTTTGGCAAATAAGCTAAACCAGAAGATGGCAGGAACCCAGGAACCAGGGGTCTGTCACGTTGAAAAAACTTCTCATACCGACGTAAGTTTAAGAGGCGGGTGAGGGTCATTTTCATTACATCGTTACTAGCATCGTAACTAATTTTTCTACAAGTTACCTCAGGAAAGAAGAAAGAAAACTTTTACAATTGTGCCCAAAGTACCAAACAAACAACAAAAGTGCTTACTTCCTTGATCAGAAAGCTAACACAGTGGTTCCTTTACTGCGCCCCTGCAGGCTGCTGTTTTAACAGGCTCTGACGAGGTACCTAAACCAAGTTCTCTACTTATCAATACAAATGATAAACACTTGCTTATCAGAATAGTGCAAACAGGAAGAAAGAAAAGTGCTGTCAATGTAAGTAAACTGCAGGGGGAAAAAAGGCAGTTGAACATCATGACCTCACAACCATTGCTTCAGAGAAATCAGTAGTACTTTTCTCAGCATGTCAGACCAAGCGTGTTCCTATTTATCATGTCACATCACCATGCACGGGGAATGGATTTGGTCTTGTACATAGCCTCCTTCATAAAAGTAAATGTGCCTGCTCTTGGTGCTGTATATAAAAAAAAGTCTAAAGACCTTTTCAAAACATTAACTGATCAAATGATTAGAGTAATTAATAGATACAATTCTGCCTTCCCTTTTTCCCTTTATAGCTTTCTGTGGAGTGCATAGAAAAGGCCATAGTGACACATCACATACAAAAATCAAGTTTAAGTTTTATGTCAAATACTCAAGTATTTTTAGCATTTATGTACACAAGTTTATTTACCATACATTCTTTCTTACTCTTTCCTCAGATATACCTTTATCTTGTTTCTTGGACAGATGACACATTTCACCTTTGAGTTAGGCATTTAAACCTACTATAAATAAGACTATTAGGGGAAGTAAATGTGAGCAGGACCTCATTAGAGAATGAGGAACACTGTCACTGCGACGCTCTGTGTGACAGATCACACAGACAAGGGAGCAGGTCTTTTCTGTGTTTTCAGCTACAAGAAAATCACTCGGGTCTAATTTCAAAGTAGTTTGCAGACATAGGTAGAATGTGGTACGTCTTTCTCCAAATACTACTCTAAGTGCAGGGGTTTTAATCTTAATTAAAGTTTAGGTTTAGGTCTAGATACCGATTTTCACTGTAAACATTCCTGCATTTCAAAACTGAACCATTTACTTGAACAGTTATGTCACAAGATAAAACTCATGCCTTTGCTTTTATAGGGCCAAGGCTTTTATTCTATCTTGAGTTCTGCTTGTGTTTGCAGTTAGCCCTTAATGGGTATTTTTGTTAGCCCTACTACCATCTTCAGGGGATAAGAACAGTGATCTGCCAGCTCGTCACAGCCTCAGGCTTCAACTATTCTATGTTTATTTAATTTACTCCTAGCTGGCATGGTTTTAGTTCAGCGTATTCCCCATAATCTCTATTCAAAGTGTACATTCTACATTCTAAGGAAGATTCTTCTCTCACCACTATAGTGTGGTTTTTTTTGTGTGTGTATCTTTGGGGGGGAAAAAACAATCAAAATATGATCTTCTTCCACTGCAACAAGAAAACTGGAATTCTAGTTGGGTGGGAATGAATACTTAGTTGTCTGGTAACTCCCCTGCTAAACAAATTTATAACTGCTTATTACAGAAGCTGCTACACAAAACCAGTTTGTCTCCTATTTATTGTCTTTGTGTTAGCTTCTATGGGGTAACCCAATCCTAGCAGCAAAACCCTTATAGCATATCAAAATGGTTATGTTATTTGGCATGAAGTTATTGGTGGATAACTGTTCAAAGTTACGGAATTCATGTGGCAATTTTAAGTGCATTAAGGTGATGTTGCAGGAAGTACTGTTGGCATTAATTATTCCATCAAAAACTCTTTCCAGTAAAGGGAGAAAATACTGTAAATTAAAAAATATCACAGAACTCCAGGAACCTTGCACCTTAAATGGCTGGGGCCAGATGTAAATAATTACCATGGACTTGAATAAAAATTGCACTTGTATAAAACCCCAAAATTTAGCCCCCATTAATAACCTTCTTATTACTTTTCCAAAAAGAAGTAATAAAACATCAAGTAGTTCATTCCTTATGGCTTCACACAGTGAAGTTCATGCTAAATTGCCCAGAAGGAACAGTTTCTCAATACTTATTTCGTGAACACATCATCAGTTTCATCATCATTCATTCCTCTTTGATAGCGTACTGAAGAGAAGGCAGGCCAGTAAAGACGCTTCTTTTTATAGAGATACCACACTAATCCGGCAATGAACATTAACAGAATTAGCAGGGCAAATGCTACAGCCACCCCAGTATGATTAGAACCTGTAACAGAACAAAACAAAAATAGTTATTCTTCAAGAGTTTTGATAAGAATATTTTGCCGTAGGTTTGATACTTACGTAGTGCAACACAATAATATTGCGCACATCTAGTTGAAGTTAAGGCAAACTGCTTCATCATATTAATAGTCTTCACTTCAGTGGGAAGTTAGGTTCCCATATCAGTCAGCACCTACTAGCTTATTTTGATCATCTGTTGTTAATTTCCCAATCATATTTAGGTTAGAAGGGACCCCTGGAGGTCAAAAACCCTACTAGTAAATGCTGCCCTCATTTCAAGGTTTGTATACTTCAGAAATCTAATGACTGTCTTGGAGCGGAAGGGAATTGCTTGCCTTGGACTGAGAAGACCTTGTTGAGGTCTTCCTTAGCAGCATGAAGTTAAATCTATTCCTGTACTTCCACTTCAGTGAAGATGTACATAAAATCAGAAAGATTCCACTGCTTCTCAGGAACTTGCTTGCTTACTTGTCAGGTAACTGCTTTCTTTCCTGGACACAGCAGAGCATGAGGAAGTGATGTGAGGCCCAAGTCTTTTGAGACTGCAGGACGTCTTTTTCAGAAGCCTCGTCAAGACTGAACCACAATCTGCAGTACCCGCTTACCTGGCATTTCTTGCAAGCAACAGTCTTTCTGTTCCCACCTACACAGACTCACCCATGAGAGAGACCCTGTGGTAAGAAGCAACAGCAACTACTCCATGCTCTCTTTTAAGTGGAAATTTCAGTTGTCTCCCTTATACCCTTTAAGTGGATGCTGAAAGCCCGAAGTTAGTTCCTGAAGAATTTGATCCTGAATGCAATTTTATGGGAAAACAGCCACAGAAAGCTCTTGCTTAGGCAGAGGTACTTGACAGGTTCTTTTGTGAACTGCACTTTCATTATTTCAACACAGACTTTCCCTA